AGGCAATGCCCGTGCGGGCAGAGACTATACTCGGCCCGGCCTTTGCCCATCTCAAGTGCGTCGATGGGGAAATAGGACTAGAGTGTGTTGGGATCGTCGAGAAGGAAACTAATCGACTAGATAATAATAATAGTAAATACGAGGGAATGCCCCGGACGTTTCTTGTCTGAGCCCGTTTGCTGTAAATAAAGTGTAAATAAATACCGGGTACGATGCGAGTCTCTCTGCTCGCAGAGAAAAGGAATGGACCAAGTATACTATTTACAAAGTAGGTAATAACTAATGAATAATCATAATAAATGACATGGCCCCCGACGGCTACTTTCAGTTCCTCTGCGACAATGTCCGTTTCCTGTCGGTGCTCGGGGACCTGCCACCCTGGTCCTTGTCCACCCATCTCGCTCCACGCACAAGCCAGCTGGCAACACGCAACGTCGTAGCCTCTCTGTCAGGCTCTTCCATCTTTTATTAACATCTCGCAAACCATAATTCCAATTCATCTCCCGCCTTTGGTAACTTGCCACCGTTGTTTCCAAATCTTCGATGCATCCCCTGAAATCTGCCGATGCCTGCAGCTTCCGTCACGATCGACTGTCATGACCCCTCATGTCGCACCCGCTAGGCTCTAGTCTAGGCTCTAGGTAGTTACTTGGTCCGCAATACGCCCAACAATATTGACACGTTGTCTCTCCTCCCTTTCGCTTTCCATCAATCATAATCAACGGTATTGGCCTCGCCTTGCATACTCTGTATATGCAGCCACGGCGCCAGCCTTATGCAGTCCGCCGGTTGTCTGTCTCAACCTTTTGCCAGTGCGTCGCACCACTCACCTTGTCACCCAACATGGGCTGTGCTGTGCGCCAAGGCTCAGTTATCAGCATTCGCCCGCTTCATCTCCCATTTGCCATGAATCTCTCACCTTGTAAACTCCAAGGCAGCAGCAAACATGTTGCATCATCGTCTGCGATTTGCCTGCCTCCGTGCACTAGCGGCGATCAGCACGGCCCCGAGTTGCCGCTCGCTAATAAAATGTTGCTGCCTTGTACGCGGTATGGTTCTCAGCTCCGACGCCACGGCATGCCTAGCTCCCAGTCACGCAAACCCGGTCCTGGCCCCAAGAGTCTGTAGATGGACGAACAAGTTGACAACGACGTGCAACGACGTCGTCTCACCACTTTCTCGCCTAGCATCCCTCGCTCCCCGTAACGTGATTGGTTACGGAAACAAGGCGTTCATTGTCATGATCGCCCACCATCTACTCATACGAGAAGCCGTCTTGGCATAGCCTAACCGGCTACTCCATTCAGCGCACACAGTCGGTTTTTTTTTTGTTGCCAAGTTTCTTCTTAACCCACAAACTAGGAAACAGCTCCCTGTGTTCAATGAGACACGCTCGACGGCATAACACGGCTGGTCCCGGTTGGTGGACCGGCATGGCTTGTGACGGACTTACCATCGCCAGCGCCGCGCCGCAGCCCGCAGTCAAGACCCTGCTGTTTCCCTGTGCTCAAGTGCCCTGTTCCTATTAACCTCTAGTAACGAATCATTCGAGGCGACTGTGTCGCACACGGTATCAGTGACTTGTGCCCACGTGTACGGAGTAGCAAGCATCCCAGTCACTTCTTCAACTTGATACAGCCCCTGCCACTCGGCAAGCCACAGGCAAACTTGATATGCAGGATTCCCAGAATGCAGTTACCATTGCCAAATGAAATGAGAGACTTGCTGAGAGTTTGTGTTGCATGGCAAACGGTTGCAAAATGATTGCAACGTGAAGACGTGTTTTGCATTATTTAATTGAAACGTAATTCCAAATCTCGAATTGTAGACATGATCTCCCGGATCTCATACCTACGCACAGGCCAGTTAGACTGAAGTACCCAGTACGTGGGCCCTGGCGTATGAGCTTGCCGCGCAACCTTCAAGCTTCAAGTTCACGACCTCGATTTCCACCTCTCCCTTGTCCTCTGTAAAAAGTCAAAAGAGTAGACAATCTTCAACCGAAAGTGCCACGATTGATGCGGCCGGGTCCGAGCTGGCGTTGTCCCGCATGCCACAGCCTCGCAGAAGTCAAGTGTACTGTTTGCCGCGCAAACCAACGGCGCTGCCACTACCCGCCCGACAGCACTGTCCTTGCCGATGAATTGCGTGAGCTTGCAGGGTACAACGACGACTTGGGCACATTCTGCATCTCGCCGACGTCTACGGATCCTCCTACAGACTTACACATTATCTCGCCCCTGCCTGTCTTTCTGACGCTCCGAATGCTGGCGTGTAGCTTGCCTAGCATCTAAAGTGCGATTGCGGCGGCAAGTCACAGACCCAAGAATAAGAGAAGACCAATCTTTTTTGCTTCTCATTTTTTTTATGTACCCCAACCGCAGAACTCTGCCGCGCAGGACAAGGCAAAGCATTGCCGCCATCTGCGAGAGATCAAGGGCCCAGTCCCCGTGGCGTGCCAATCGTGCACTCTTTTGGACTGCCACGAAGTCAGAAAGCGTCATTGGTGAGCACTGGTCCCAGAGAAAAAGACGGTTCCGCCTTTGAGTCACTCTATCACAATTGTGTCTTCTCCCTTCTTTCACTCTTCTATTATCTTGGCACTATAATTGCAAGCCACACACGCACCTGCAGCCGTCCATCTGTGATCGCCATGCCTGACCCACCACAATCACAGCTGTGCACTTGGCGCTGTTGCTGCTCGTCAAGTCAGACACAACATGTGCCGAACCTCATTTTGTCGCAACGTACCCATTGAGCTGGACCACCAACTTGCAATCATGAGCTCGGTACAGTCGGAGCGGAAAAAGGCCTGGGCGCCGAGGAGCCGCAGAGGCTGTTACACATGCCGGTACGTTACCACGTCGAAACTTGGCCGGGCCTCTGTATAACCTCTCCCTCGGCTCATTACATCGCGCAGATCTCGTCGCATCAAGTGCGACGAACACCTCCCCGTGTGCAACAAGTGTCTGGCCAGCGGCCGCGCCTGTCGCTATCCAGATTTTCGGCTGGACCATGGCGAGCCGCGCGAGCTGCCAAAGCTCGCGAGCAAGGCGGCCTTGCACCAGAAAGAGCCTCCCGACTGGAACCTGGCGCAGGGTATGCTATTTTGTATGTTGTTATTCCTCTATTCCGTTTCCATCCATTTCCCATTTACCCATCTGTGTAATGACTGATCTGGGACTCGTGCAGTTGCCACCGTTCTCGTACCCATGTATGAGCGAGGGCAGGTCGCCACAACATCGTATCGGAAGCAGTTCCCGTCGCAGCCGCACATCTCACACTTCTTCTTCCCCACGGGATTTCTGATGATGGTGACAAGCCACCGCATCAAGATGGTGTGCGCGGAGCGTGGGGTGCCGGTTGAGCGCGGACAGGGTCTCGGCATCGAGCACCTCTGGCGCAGCTTCTTTGGCTACATGGCGCTGGCGCTCGAGAACCTCAATAAACACATACTGGCCCGTAGTCCGGCGTGGTATGTGATTAACAGGACAGTTGATCTTTTGGCCAACGAGGTAAACGTGCGCAATTTCTGCCGGTCTGCGCGGAAGCTGACCAGAAATGTGACAGCTGCACATTGTCGATTCACTCTGGAGATCTCATCTTAGAGGCTTCTTTGCAATAGTTGAGTTATATGGAGGTGTTGATACAATCCTGAAGACGAGCGCTCGTCTTCCCTATACAGCCATGAATTATTGTCTCGTGTAAGTCCTTTTGGCGGCGTTGACCTTTCATTGCTGAGCCATAGTTGCTCACCCGTTTTGTTTTCAGATTTACCGTTGTTGGAAACGCATGTAGCCCAGTACATGATCAGATCGACGGCTTGTACTCCTGGAGTGAGGAGGATATCATCTCCATTTACACGCACACTTTTTACTTTTGTTTTGCGTCGCCGTCCGTTTTGTTTCTTGCTGTTTTCCGTCTTACCCAGCTTCGAATCCTCGTGGCCAGCGGCCACTCCGCAGGCGAGCTCCAGACCACGGCAGAGACGATCGCCCATAGCGTGCACCGCTTCTCAACCACTGACTGGACGGAAACCTACGCGCTCCCCGACGATCCGCTTAGGTCTTTGCTCGCCGCCATCTTCAAAGTGGCTGCCATTCTCTACGGCTTGTTGTCGCTGCCTCCAGACCTCGCGCGACCTTTTGCCGGTTCATACTGGGACGACGCCGCGAATGATCCGGTCGAGAGAGCGCGTTTGCATTATCGTGCGATGCTGCTCGACATGGTGTGGCCCACAGTCAAGAAGCTACAGTTGAGCCGTCTGAGCTGGATCTTTGCCGTGCTCGGCGTAGCGTATCTAGACGGGCCCGAGGATGTACAAAAGCGCATCCTGCAGAGCCTGAGGGCGATTCTCAGAATGGAAGATGTGGGCGGCGGCGCAGCGACCATGTTGCAAATATTTCCGTCGTACTGGGCGTCGGGAAAGCTGGGGTGGGAACAGTGCTATTACAAGCCGTGTCAAGTTCTGTGCTGAGTAGTGGTGCCCACGAGAACAAACAGAGCTAGGCGCACTCTGCTCCAGAGCGGCTAGCTCAATATTGGATCGAGGCTTCGCTGGCCGAAATTTGATAAGGGGCACGCAGAGAGGATGACTGAAAGGGCAGCCGTTTGTAGGATCATCTGTGTTGACACGGGCGAGCCGTCGGGCAGTGACCTATCATCGCGCGTCGGGCCATCATTGGTGGATGGGGCGTAGCTCAAGGAAGCGGAGGCTAGCCAATATCATGTCCGTAAATAGAGCAACAAACTGTGCGAGCACGTCGATCCATTGGAGCCAGACATTCAATTGATGCCTGCGGAGGCTGGCTGTCATGGACGCTGAATGCAACGATGTCTGCTAGGAATTGCAGGTCCATTTACTTTCGGTTGATCTCTCCAACTAGCGACTTCAAACGCCATATCACAGAACTACCATCTACCTTTGCAAACTCACCACCGCTCAGCAAAAAAAGAGAAACATTCGTAGCTGTCAACTCGAAAGAAATGGCAAAAAGAACGGGTCTGGCCGGGGATTGAACCCGGGACCTGTCACAGTATCCGGTTTACCGAATTGGGGAACGAAACCCGAAGCGACAATCATACCACTAGACCACCAGACCGCCTAATGTGCTGCAGGTCTGTGCACTATCAGAGTATATAAGCTAGGGCAACTCGTGAACTACCAAGCCGCGACCAAACCACCACACACAAGATACAGCTTCAGTATGAACATCATCACCACCAACAAAAGATCAATAGGCTTCAATACGGTACCTCCACCTGCCTCCGTCGGCTGCTAGGCTCTCATTAGGGCAGATAAAGTCCAAAGGGATCAGAGGCCATGTCCAAGCGGGGCCAAGAGTGGCAGAAAATTGCAGCTCAATTACAGGTCCTTTAATCCGTACAAATCGGCTTTGTGGTGCTTAGTAGCATGTCTTAATCAACACCTTAATCAACAGTCAATCGGCAGCAAGTCAATAGCAACTAGCTGTTACTTGACTGGCTGCTGGTTGACTGGTTGTTGATTGAGACTGGCTGCTGGGTTAGTCATAAGTAAGGTATTACCTGTAACTACCATCTGCAAAGGACCTGCAGCGCATCTGCAACGCATCCTTATTATTACCGCCTTCGTGAAAAACGTCCCGCTCGGACTTGAAGCCCCGCATCTCTATAGTTCCTGAACCATAGGTGACCTGAGGCCATCAAGCATCGTCAACACCAACAACACCACAATTCTTGACGATACGTATCGTAATTCAACCCCACGGAGCTTCCGACAATCAGCATAAAGCAACCAGCGAAGCGGACATAATATCGAAGCCTCAAGTCCATCTCCGATTTACTTTCTCGCAGTCCGCCTGCTTTTCGTCCCATCAAGGCTAAACGACTGTGGGGTGGCTACTTGCACTTCGGCAGCCAGCGGCTCTACGCTCAAGTCAATGACAGAGGGCAGGTCGTCGACGGCTGAGCGCAATTTGGCGAGGTGCACCGGCAGCCACACTTCATAGATGTTTCTGATAAAACGATACGTCGTCCACTTCTCCTTTCCATCGTCCGCAGTAAAGTCGTGCTTGAAAACGGGATGGCGGTAGAACTTGACAGCGGTTCCGTTGCCACCGTCTGCAAAAGACGCGTGATGGGCGTATACTCTGACGGAGGAGTCATCATGAGAGACTGAAAATGCCACAATCTGACGATCCACCTCATCTTGCCTTTTGACCAAGCGGAAAAGCTCTGCGATTCCACGCACCGCGAGGGTCATGCTGTGGGCGTTTTGGCGATCCGCAACTGCCAGGCCTGCGGTACCGCACTTGACCTCGCATGACAGAAATGGGAAGTACATGTAGTATGTTGCCATAAAGTACGACTGGTCGCCGGTAATGAAGTCGCCGATAAACGGCGATAGCTTGTCAAGTTGGGCGTCAGTGAAGGCGTCGCGCCGAAATCCTACGGCATAGTCTGGCTGAGGCCGAGATCCTGTCAATGGGATGGCATTATTCCAACCCTCATTAATACTTTCTATAATGGTCTTGGGGATGTTTTCACTGAAAAGAGTCACAGCCTCAGCTGATGGGACGAGAAGCCGTGATATATCCTGAAGAATCTTGGCTTCATTTCGGCCACTCAGCTTCTCACATGCTTGAACAAAGATGTCGTCGGCAAAAAGGGTTCCCTCGGGGTATTGCTGTTCGGCATCGCGAAGGTTCCTGATGATGTCGGTGCTTTCGCCTTTAATGCCAAGTTCACATTGCTTCATGTAAGATCCTTTCGTCTGTAATAGAAGCTCGTAGCGTGGGTCACGGTACTGTGTGCTCTTTTCCTCTCGTTGCCGCTGGTCGCTTGGTGTTGTGGACGCAATGGATACATCTTCGAACCTTTTACGACTGCGAATCGATGATACTGATGTCTTTCGTGCTAGCAGACGCTGCATGTTGTTTGGGGATTCGGGCGGCGGCCAACGGCCTTGCTCTAACCAGTAGCTGACGGGGTGGGGGTTCCTGTTGCCCTCGGTCGATAACCTGCGTCTCTTGGCGGGGTTTTTTAGAGTTGATGGGTTCCATTGATGAGTTGCGCAGGTTTCTGTTCCGGCAATGGGCTGCGAAGCCTTTCGCTTTCGAAGATTATACTGCTTCAGCGCAGGGTTGGCACGTTGTCCAGGGTTTCCGCGAGCCATGGCGAGAAAATTTTTCGCGACTTCTTGTGGACGGCAATGCATACACAGACGACCCATGCGGTCGCACGAAGTCTCCGGTCAAGCGAATCATTCTGTGGCCATGGAAGCTTCGATATGATGCGTGGTTGGGGTGAAGAAGCTACTGCCTTGCTGAGGCAGCACTAATGGAAGCTCAAGGGGATTGAGTTACTGTTGGTTTCTCAAGGGTCAATATGTATTGAGGTCTGGTTGGTTGATGATTCGTTGTTGTTCGTGTTGTTGGACTGCAGGCTCTGGAGTTCTAGATGTACAGGTGGGTCTATCGTTGATTGGGGCCAATGAGGGGGCTGCATTCATCCAGCTGGTGGCTGCCACAGGATTAATAACCCCTAATAATAACAGTTGACAGCTGGCGACCAGTGTTTGTCGTGTGTCGTTTGCCACCTACTACCTGTCACCGTCTATGAGAGGCACCTTCCGTACCTACGTACCTACTGGCCAGCGGGTTCACTTTACTTTTTCTTCGAATACAAAATTCTGCCAGTGGCCAATTCTGGCTGATCTCATTGCTTCTGCTGATGTCTTCAATGTTTGCCTGATTTTCTTTCTGTGAGCACGAAACTTGGCAGCATTGTATGCTTTGCTAATAGTTGCTGATTCCAACATGGCTTACGACTCGAGACATGGTCTGGCCCTCAGGTCGCTTCAAAAACTTGCCCGATCATCTTCATTGCCGCAGTTGTTCCCCAGTTGTGCAAAAGCTGCATTGCCTTCGCTATGCGCTGGAAAAGCTTACATCCATCGAACAATTTTGTCCAACACTGCGAGTGGTCAGATAAGGTGCCCAGGCCGAGATCGTTGGCTCATGACCGAGTCGAGAATCTACACTACACATTGGCTACAGTGTGAGTATGAACCCATTCTTCTTACATTCGATAATTGCCTACTTTGTGTTCCAATCAAAAATCAAATATGGAGTTACCTCCCCAAATGACAGGACCCAACAAGAAGAGCCCCAAGACTATTTACTCCTCTAGGACACGATCCTTGCCAACGAGGCAACAGCTCCCCCCCCTCCCTCCCCCTCTCCATGTGTTGTGATGTGGTGAGCCATATAAGTTTTTGCCAACAGCAATCCGGTCTGCTAGAAATCCTCTTGCTTTTTGACCACACACTCCATTCTCATTTCCAGAGGTCAATGGTATGCGAACGCTTCGACATGTAATGCCCTGGTCACCCGGCATTGCTAGCAGTCAACCCAAACAAAGTCTTATTTTGGGACCTTTGGTAACTGCATCAATGCCAGTATGATCTGTCGTGGCTCATGGCAACGGACAGGGCATTATGTCAACTGCAAACGCCAAGCTTGCCGGCTGGCAGTAGTCACACCACATGATTTCTACTCGTAAAAGCTCGTAATTTTCTCTCATGTTTTCATAATTCGAAATTGCGTTCATGTCATCCTTCGCTACAATCGGCCATATCGCTTCTCCCTCGTTGCTTCTCTCAAGTTATTACATCCTACTTATCCTCGAAAAGCAATTCCGTTTTCCAAAGTTTCAAGGCTTCTAGCTAGACCTTAGCCCCAACAAGAGTCTCATTTGTCCAAGCAATTAGTTCCACCATGATGAACGATTCGACAGTTTTTCAAACGGCTCTACCCCTCCGTCGCGATACTTATCTCGTTGACGAGAAAGACAGCGAGCTTGTCGGAAGGCTCGTGAGGATCTACAGAACCTACGCGTTCTCTCTTTCCAGTCAAGAGCAGCAAAATTTTCGACAGATGATCAGAAAGCGAGAGTATAAACGCCGCGATGGGCGTCCTGACCCAAGCAATATTGTTCTACATCACGTATACAGTGGGATGTACCACAGAAAGACAAGGTGCTGGATGGGTGACAAAGTTACATTTACAAAGTGGGCACTTCTAGCGACGTTGTATTCCGCAGAGAGCTTGGCTGAGCTTGCCAAGGTTGTCACGAGATTGGGCATTGACCGGCAGCCATGCTGGCAGAAATACGCCGATCATCACGATGGTGATGAGGAGAAAGGTGACGACAATCTGGGGCCGTTGGAACTCCCCAACGCTGCCGAGTTGGCAGCAGTTTGTATGAAGAGGGTTCGAATTTTTGCTGCTCCTTCGAGAGCAGCAGCGAGCGGCAGCGATACTGACGAAGCTCTCTCCGTTGCCAACGACACGGAAATGCCGCCGCCATCCTGGTGTTCCTTGACCGTTGGGCAGCAGGATGTCGAGGATCATGAAGATGGAATTAGCGGCCGGATACCAAGCGAAACTTCACACGGAGAGCTCGAGAGAGGGCTACACCACCGAAAACACAGTCTTGCCGAGACTGACCTGGCATCACCGCAACCTGGGTCAAAACGGAGAGATTGCCACTCCGTCGTCTCGCATGGAATCAATTCGAGCGTCTGTTCACCTATTCGGACTACCAGCTCTAAACCTAGCAACTACGAGTCGGCACTGGGGAGCGACAATGCGGCCCTAATTTGGCAAGAAATAGCCCGGCTGCATCAAGGCTTAGACTCTGCCACAGCAGACAACATGGCTCTACGAAAGATAGTAGACGCATCGGAAGCAAGAATAAATGCGCAGGACGTCGATAAAGTTTTATTGCAGGAAGCGTTGGCTCGTGAGCGTGAACAAACTTGTCTACTGCTTCAACGAGTGCACAAATTGGAGGAGTCGCACAAGTCGTACTCTCCGATTATGGACAAAATCTATCAAAAGGTACTCGAGTATACCATAAGAACTGATGAGCTTGCCAAAAATCATCAAAAAAGGGATGAAGCGCTTCTCAAAAGCGTGGCAGACGTCGAGGAGTGCCAGGGGAGCGTGGAAGAGTGCCAGGCGGGCGTTGAAGAGTGCCAGGCGGGCGTTGAAGAGTGCCACAAAGTTATTGAAGAATGTCGGGCGGGCATGGACGAGTGCCGCAAGGTTGTCGAGAA